GAGAGAGAGAGAGAGAGAGAGAGAGAGAGAGAGAGAGAGAGAGAGAGAGAGAGAGAGAGAGAGAGAGAGATGTGGTTTTACTCTATCGTCCTCACATCCTCATATTCGCCCACTTCAAGTAGTGCCTTTAGTGGACATACAGATAGATAGATAGATAGATAGATAGGTAGATAGATAGATAGATAGATAGATAGATAGATAGATAATAGAAATCAGTACTGGAAACGTCGATACATGATGTGGACAGATGGACTGATAGACATGGATGGATGGATGGATGGAGTGATGGACAAATTGAGGAGTGATAGGTAGGTAGGTGGCTGGCTGCAAGGGGTTCAGGTACACAATAGGTCTGTAGGGTAGATTGATGGATAGATGGAGAGACAAATAAATCACTGGAATGATAGTTAAGTTTTATAACCAACACATCGAATGTGCGGCTTATTTAAGGTGGTTTACGGATGGCATAAGGCGGCTTACGGATAGCATAAAGGCGGCTTACGGACAGCGTAAAGCGGCTTACAGATAGCATAAGGTGGCTTACGGATAGCACAAGGCGGCTTGCGGATATCATAAGGTGGCTTACCGATAGCGTAAGGCGGCTTACGGATAGCATACTATAGACGACACTGCCTCTCTTTCCCACCTCTGCTTGAACACAAGTAGAGGCCTCGTAACAGCCAGAAGAACAAATACATCCCACAGTCAAAAAGACTTGGCAGACAATGATTGTGCTACCGATCAATGTGCAGTATTCTACTGAAGGCTGTATCATAGACGACACACTCTGTCTCTGCCTATCCGCACCTCCTCCAATCCCTCTATCCCCACCACTGCTTGAGCGCAAGTAGAGGGCTCCACTTGTAATGCCCACCAAAACAAATTGACCCAGACGTCAAAGAAGTCAGCAGAGAAAGATTGCGCTAACGATCGATGGCACAATTGTACCGCAGACTGACATATGGCCGGCGGTGACGAAACCGACAAACAATGGCCAACAATTTTCACAGAGGTCAACCTCAACCTCAACTAAAGTGATATCTGGCGATTGAACTCCCATGATGCAAACATGCCCATGAGGCCTCTCTAACCATCCTTTCGGGTTTTAATCACGACTTCAATCTGCTCGCTTGTCGCGCCTGTTTAACATCTTTATGAGTTTTGACTCTTTTGAGTCTTTTGACTAAGCTGACAGTCCGTGCACAGCAGCGCCAGCAGTCCAACAAGCTCAGAGCAGTTGGACAATTCAGCATTTTAGACGTTTTCAGATCTATTTTAGACCCCTTGCATTTAAGACGTATTTTAGACGTATTTCAGACCTAGTTCAGACCTATTTCAGACCTCGCATTTTAGACGTATTTTAGACGTATTTCAGACCTATTTCAGACCTATTTCAGACCTATTTCAGACCAATTTCAGACCAATTTCAGACCTATTTTAGACCTATTTCAGACCTATCCTTCATATGTAGCGACGGCTACCCCACACTTACTGGAAGGAAACAAATGAAAGAGAGAGAAAAAGACCATAAGAATTCTTGCAGCGAAGACAGTTGCACTGTGCTCCTTCTGGACCACAAATGAGGGGCAATCACCTGGTGAAAAGGGGAGAGGATTCTTCCAAACTGCCCCTCCCTCCCTTCCCACACTTCATAAAACAAAACAACTGAAACTGTGAAACAGTTAAAAAAAGAGGCCATCAAAATTATTGCAGTAACGACAGTTGTGCTGCGCTCCTTTCTGGACCTCAGATGAGAGACAATCCCCTCAAGAAAAGGGGAGAGAGGATTCTTCTCAATCCCCCCTTCCCCCCCCCCACCCAACTCCCACCCACCCATCCTCCACCCACCCCCCACCCAACCCCCACCCTCCAGCACTTGACAAACAGGAAGCCTCAACCTACTCACCCCCTATTCCGCTGGACTTACACCCACCCAGACACTCTGACAAACATCAAAAGACGACGTGTTCACAACTTCGGAAACACGAACTGAGCGAAAAAGGACATGCAATCGTCATCAGGTGGTTGGCTGCTACCCCATTGGTCAGCAGCCCTCAGCACTCGTCCAGATGAAGCAATCCTGATGGAAGTGGGGAAACGGTCATTTTTAACAGGATTTGAATTTTGAAACACTCGATCTGTTTATAGAACGTAACATGTGTGTTGCTGCCAGCGATCCACGACGCAAGTACACAAGGCGCGGGCTGTGGGGCAGAAGACACTTGTCACAAGCATCGTTAGGAGAGAAAGAGAATATATATTGGTGTCAGCAGACTCAGCATTAAAAAAAAAAGTTAAAAAAAACAGACAAAGTCTGAAAAAAGGACCTGTATTTGGTCCTGTAGTTGTCATTGGGCGGTGGGCCTCTAACCTCCGTCAGCGCCCCTCGACACTCACAGGGATGAGTCCTGGCGGAAGTGAGACACTGGATGATGTGACGTGGGTGACCTCTAGCTCCGATCCTGGCATCCCTCTTTCCATGCCTACCTCCAAACCTCCAGCTCTGGCCGCGCTGTAGCTCCCACGAGGACCTCCTTCGCTTCCCGTTTCGCCCGTTCCTGTCCCGGTCCCCGAACGAGAACTGGAACCATTGTCTGTTTCCGTCGACTGTCCTCGAGAGCTATCTCGATGCGGTGTGGCCGCCGACTTTCTGCCTTGCGAATGGCCCTCCTCCTTCCCTTCCTCCTCCTTCTTTCTCTCTGCATTTCTTTTCACAGTCTCTTCCTGTTTCTCCTCCTTTACGGTCATCGTCTTCCCCTCCTCCTTCCCCCCTCCCTCCTCGTCCTCCTCCTCGTCCTCCTCTTCCTCCTCTTCCTCCTTGGCGCTTGGCAACCTCTCAACATAGCTTCCATACGCCAGCTCTCGATCATACGCCTCTTGAACAATTCGCAAGACCTGCATCATGAGCGGTCGTTTTAACGACGATGGCTGACAGCAGTGCGTTGCAAGCTTTGCGATCATCTTCACCGCGTCCAAGCTGTACGATCCCTCGGCGATTTGAGGGTCCAGCAAACCCCTGTAGTTGCTAGTACCAATCATCGACACACCCTGCACCAAGCCCGATAACAAAAAAGTTCATCCATAAGAATGCCCACAGGTTTTCATGCACGCTCCCAAAACAGGCGATACTCAACATCATCAGTTCTTTTTCCCTTTGTAAGTAGTGCTTTGAACTGCTTTTCCAAAAAAAAAAGAAAAAAAAAGAACAACATTGAAAATTGCATGAAGAGAGTTTTACGGAAGGAAAAAACGGTGGGAGGCAAATCTTTGCAACATTACGTTTCCTTCATAACACCCTTTCTTTTCAATGCTGGTCTCAGGGTTCACTGAACTTAACCTCCCAGACACAAGAGTGTGTGTGTGTGCGTGTGTGTGTGTGTGTTGTCATATTCGCTATACACTCAAAAAAAGCATGACTGTACCAGACTGTTTCGTCGGACTTTCGCCGACTCATCAGGAGGATGAACCCCGACAGTCTGCCCAGGATGCATTTGACTGATGGATAAGGACTCACCACATCGCCCAGAGTTAGCGATACCCATCCCTGAGAGAGAAAAGTGGTCAACTTACTCTGTGTGTGTGTGTGTGTGTGTGTGTGTGTGTGTGTGTGTGTGCTGGTCTCAGGGTTCACTGAAATTAACCTCCCAGACACAAGAGTGTGTGTGTGTGTGTGTGCCCAACGCAACCCAACCCAACCCAACCCAACCCAAAGAAAAGATTGGACTTTGGAGGTTGAGCATGTGAAGTCTATCTTTCGTTTTGTGATGTTGCAAAAATTTGAAAAAATAAAAAAATAAAAAAAATAATAAATAAATAAAAAGAAGAAGAAGAAGAAGAAGAAGAAGAAGAAGAAAAGATAGAAACGGACCAAGCTCAGGTTTGGAGGCCAGCAACAATCCACAAACCAGAAATGGAGTTTCATGCAGTGCCAATTGCATTAATGCAGTTAAATGCACCAGCAGGTTTAGTCCCAATGAGCTGTTAACTTAAAATACAGACCCGAGTTCGAATCCAACTGCAATAAGGTGATGATGCAGAGTCAAATAGTTCTGAATTACCTGGGACTGGTCAATTAAATGATGACATCTCAAGACCGTCACCCTTTTTTTTTTTTTTTTTTTTTTTTTAAA